TTTTTGAAAGCCTCTACGAAATAGATGATGGGCGCAATTACCCCTCACATTTGACACAAGTCCGAGCTCCTCTAATGAGCGATCTACAGATAGACGGAGCCCTAGTTCTAAAGATACTCATTGAATTAAAACCTAGCAAATCGGCGGGGAGTGATGGATTACATCCAGCGATCGTCAAGCCGCTCGCAGAGATTTTGGCAGCTCCTGTGTGTGCATTATGGGAAAAATCCCTGAGACTAGGTGAGATACCAAACGACTGGAAGACGGAGACAATCGGGGCGATACATAAGGGGGTGACCGAAAGGTGTCAGGAAACTACACGCCAGTTAGTCTCACTAGTATCCTCTGTAAAGGACTAGAGACAATAGTGAGAAACGGCATAGGGGAGCATGTTGCCCGTTACAACTTGTTATCCCCAACCCAGCATGGGTTCCTCAAAAACAGGTCATGTCTCAGCAACCTGTTGTGCTTCCTAGATGAAGTCACAAGGAAGCTAGACGAAGGTCAAAAAGTTGAAGTTTGTTACTTGGACTTTAGGAGGGCCTTCGACTCCGTAAATCACCGTTTATTACTCAAGAAGCCCGAGAACTTCGGCCTTCCTGGGAGTCTTATTAGATGGATAGGGGCGCTTCTGAACAGACGTACCCTCAGGGTTCGAGTAGGAGAAACACTATCAGCGGAGGGTAAAGTCAACGGTGGGATGCCACAGGGCTCCTACGTCCCATACTTTTCCTGCTGTACTTCGATGACTTAGTTAGGGGGTTGTCCATCCCGACTTTCATGTTTGCAGACGATGTCAAAGTAGTTAACTCAGGCTCGCGAGACCAACTGCAGGAAGACCTAACAAAGATTATTCGTTGGACTCAGATGTGGGACCTAGACCTAAACCCGTCAGTGTCACATTTTGAACACTGACGGCGGTCCAGTTAGAGTAAGCACGGAGGCGGAAAACAACCAAACTAACACGCGTAACCCAAACGAAGGATTTAGGGATAGTAGTCTCCGAGCACTACAAGCCAGGCGTTCAATGCAAAGCTGCAGCGCAAAGGGCTAGAGAGCAGCTATTCTAGGTGCGAAATACACTGAGCAATTGAAAGACAGAAGTCTTTATCCCACTGCATAAGGAACTGGTGAGACCCCACCTAGAATACTGTGCCCAGGTCTGGGCACCCTACCTGCAAAAAGACATTCAGTGCATCGAGAAGGTTCAAAGGTTAGCCACCCGGATGGTCTTGATCATGAGGGGCAAGCCATGCCCTCCATTCTACGCCGTGGCACTCGCCAACCAGGTGGTTCTGTGCACTTAATTAACCCAATATCATACGTACACGAAACCAGCCTCAAAGCTGGATTCGTGGAACATAATCCTGTCTGGTACATACTTTCACAAGTATTGTGACCTAATGTTCCGTAATCGACGTGTTTCTCGATCTGTATTCAACCATACCTATCCGTTCTCGTCCGTGGCAAATGCTAACCAGGTAGCTGTGTACACTTGCTCAATCCAATCTTACCAGTAAACGGAACCAGCCTCAAAACAGGATCCGTGGAACACTATTCAGTCCGGTACAAGCTTTTCCAAGTAATGTGACCTAATATTCCTAAGCAACATGATTCTCGAATAGTTTTCACTGAATCCTTTCCGTCCTCGTCCGTGGCGCACGCTAACCAGGTAACTGTGTACACTTCCTAAAGCGAATAACACAAGCACACGAAACCAGCCTCAAAGCAGGATCCATGGAGCACTATTCAGTCCGAAAAACACTTTCACAAGTATTGTGACCTAATGTTCCGTAATCGACATGTTTCTCGAATAGTTTTCACTCAATCCCCTCCGTTCTCGTCTGTGGCGCACGCTAATCAGTTAGCTGTGTACACTTTAATAACCCAATATCACCCGTACACGAAACCAGCCTCAAAGCAGGATCCATGGAGCACTATTCAGTCCGAAAAACACTTTCACAAGTATTGTGACCTAATGTTCCGTAATCGACGTGTTTCTCGAATTGAATTCAACCAATCCTATCCTTCCTCGTCGGTAACACACGCTAACCAGGTATCTGTGTACACTTTCTTGGCCCAATATTGTCAGTACATGGAATCAGGCTCAAAGCAGAATCCGTAGAAGTCAATCCTGTCTGGTATATTCTTTTACAAGTTTTGTGATTTAATATTCTGTAGACGACTCCGGTACACTATCATTTCTTTCTAGGTGTCCACTCATTTTCTGTGTTGTTCCGCTGCATGCTCCGTTTCCCTCCCTCCTTCCCCTCTTTCAGCTGGGTACTACCCCAGACTGCTGCATATCGCCTTTGTTCCAGATTCGTTTGGCTTGGGCCTGACGAAGGCTTGGGGTCTTCACCCACAATGGACAATTTGGCTCCAGCAATGGTTGTTGGGCACGGCTGTTTTCACCGCTTTGACTACACGCGTCCGCGTTCCGGACCAAGTTGAGGATTACACCCCCTGCCTCACCTACATGGTGTTTCAAGGTTAGGTGTCTAGCGTGTAGTCAGTCCCACATCAAAGCAACCAACGCCTAATTAATCTAAATAAACCAAACCACTCGTGATTGATTGAAGCCCCGAACCCAACGAAATT